AAATTATGCCAAATTAGATATGGGGGGATTTTGAATAAAGAATAAAAAGTTAATTAAAAATAGAAAAAAAAAGTTTTTATAAAAAAAAATGTTCTTTTTAACAAATGTATTTTTGCGTAGAATTCCTTTCTACGTAAGCGGCCTTCGGCCGCACTTAGGGATTATAACCCTCAGGCAGTAGAATTCTCCTTTCTGTGTTGCCAAAGAAGGGGGGCTGAACACCTTTTGCAGAGAACACCTTTCTGCGTAGGCGGCCTTCGGCCTCACTTAGGGATTATAACCCTCAGGCAGTAGAATTCTCCTTTCTGTGTTGCCAAAGAAGGGGGGCTTAATACCTTTTGCAGAGAACACCTTTCTGCGTAGGCGGCCTTCGGCCGCACTTAGGGATTATAACCCTCAGGCAGTAGAATTCTAGTTTCTGTGTTGCCAAAGAAGGGGGGCTGAACACCTTTTGCAGAGAACACCTTTCTGCGTAGGCGGCCTTCGGCCGCACTTAGGGATTATAACCCTCAGGCAGTAGAATTCTCCTTTCTGTGTTGCCAAAGAAGGTGTTCTGAACCCCTTTTGCAGAGAACACCTTTCTGCGTAGGCGGCCTTCGGCCGCACTTAGGGATTATAACCCTCAGGCTGTAGAATTCTCCTTTCTGTATTGCCAAAGAAGGGGGGCTGAACACCTTTTGCAGAGAACACCTTTCTGCGTAGGCGGCCTTCGGCCGCACTTAGGGATTATAACCCTCAGGCAGTAGAATTCTCCTTTCTGTTTTGCGAAGAAAAGGAGCTGAACACATTTTGCAGAGAACACCTTTCTATATTTTTAATGCTTACTGGGTTATATCCTATCTTCTTTTGTCTCTCATTCTTTTGCATATTTTGGAGTTTGACAGCTGAACTCCGCCATTTAATTTGCATATGCAACCAAAGTCAGACGCGTGATTTTGAAGGTGTTTTTATTTAATGAATTGTGATGAATTGGTTAATATTAAAGTCGTAAAGCAAGTTATAACAAATCAAGTAAAGTGTAAAGTGAAGGGGAATACAAAAATATATTGGTAAAGTGGCTAATTTAAGCAGAATAAGAGTGATAAATGTACGCTAATTTCCGAATTTTACAAAAAAGGGCATATTTCAAACCCAATTTGTAAATAAATTAGTAACCAAAATTTACAAAAGTGAGTGTTAAAATATTGCGTGGACCCTTGACTACAAGTGTGTGAAATTTTTTTTTGGATCGGGCCACCCATTTGGACGGAATAGACCGAAATAGTTGTGAGCGGTACTAAACCCCACCCGATATTTTTATAAAACACCCAGTAACCAAAATAGACATCACAGGTTTACCACACAGAAAGGGAATTCTAGTTACCTCATCCTTTCCCAAAGTTATGTCACACAGAAAGGAGAATTCTACGTAGTAAGGGTTATAATCCCTAAGCGCGGCCGAAGGCCGCCTACGCAGAAAGGTGTTCTCTGCAAAAGGTGTTCAGCCCCCCTTCTTCGGACGCAAGTTCAACTTTGTTTTTTCCTTGAAAAAAATCTAAATTTTGCCTATTTTCAAACAGCTCCCCAGAGGTCTGTGGGAGGGGTTGGGGGGGGGGAGGGGTGACTTTTCATAAAGCGGCGTCAATCATCTTTCGTTTAGGGGGGATTTGTGTGGCCCACACCCCTCCCCCTCCGCCCCACCCCTAAATCCTTGTACAAATAGCTAAACATTTCCCAACATGAGTTCCGTTCTTTTATTGTTTTTCATTATGGAAGAAGAGCGGTTAGAAAAATTGAAGCGGAGAGTTTTACGAGATCACAACAATCCTCTGGAGCTGCCGAAGTCTGTGTAAGCAAAAGCAAAGCATTAAGTATACACGCAAATAAGTGTTGTCATTTGAGGCAGCATACTTGTGTTCTTACAGATTTGTAGCTCATTATCGGTTAAAAAAGAGGCATTTGTAATGGTAAATACTATCGAAAGGTATATACCTCGAACTTCCATTTAGCCAATTATTACGTTGTGCGCAGTGCTTCGCTTCCTAGCAGAAGGATCATATTAGCGTTCCGCAGGGAATGATATGACTATAAGTTTGGGTAGAAGCACTGTATCTGAAATTTTAACACAAATGTTAAGACTTGGAGAATCACATTTGCCTTCAATGGGTCAAGTGGAAAATGGATCCAGACGAAAAAAGAGCGTCGAGGGATTATTTTTTACAACAAATTCAAAATTCCTTGCATCGTAGGATGTATCGATCGCATATTCAAATAATTAAACCTCATAACAATGAACATTTATTCTTCAACAGAAAAGTATGAATGCGATGATTGTAAGTAAATTTTACATTATTGATATTGAGGGTATGTAAGCAATTTTAAGTTTTTGTTAGATTTGTGATATATGATAATACGTGCAGTTGGTTCACGATACCCCGGCGCAAGCCATGATTCTTTCGTATGGAATGTAAGCAATGCGCGGCAATATTTTCTACGGGAATATGAAAATGGAGACCGATCATCCAGGCTACTGGGCGATTCCGGATGTGGTATCGAAGCATTTATGTTAACACCCTATTGGGATCCCCAATATGCAACTCCACAATACAAATTTAATAACACGCATTCCTTAGTCCGCAACATAACAGAGCGAACTATAGGTGTTTTAAAGAGCCGATTTCGTTGCTTGCAAGGAACTTTACACTATCAACCTAAGAAGGTAGTTAAAATTGTAAATGTCTTTTGAGTGCTGCATAACATCTGTCGGCAGTATAATGTAGAATGGAATGAAAATGCTAATTTTACTACATCAGAAAATGTTCATGAAGACACTTTTATGCTGCAAAACAGCAATATACAAAATGAGGGCCGTAGAATAAGGGATGAGATAGCTAATAGTCTTTAAGCAATAATGCATTATATAGTATTATCTATGTTCCATGCAAACTTTGCATTTTTTTATGAAGAAGAGAGAAACAGAGGTATGTATTAATGCATAAAAGGTATTAAAGCAAATAGTTTATGTGTTTATGGAAACACCAACAACGAAAATGCAAATAGTTTACTCCCTGCATTTACATACGTGTTTTACGACTTCTTTTTTAATTACAGATAATTAATGCACGCGTTTTGTATGTAATGCATTTTACCAAACTTATTTGCGCATGCAATAAGGACACAAAAAAAGTTGAGTTATTTGTCTTTGAACTTGTTTATATTTTTAAAATGTGCATATGTTATAAAAAACAAACACAAATTTATGAAATAAATCTAAGAGAAACAGACCCTCATTAACTGCAAACAACATATCGCACATCTAATAATTTAGAGAAGTAATTCAAAATTTACGTTTTTGGAGATTTCATCAAACAATTAACAAGCTTGATAAGGAGAATATACAGGTATGTCGCAGAATCTGAATCGGAATTGATTTTTGTCGGAAATGGAGGCCGATACCTGTTTCATTTGGTGTCGCGAAAATCTATCGGATTTCGATTTTTCGAACATGAGCAAATCCGATATTCGAATCAGCTGTTTATGTCCACCTCTGCATTGTGATTGTGGTATTTTGTAGCAAATAGCAAATAAGTTGTTTAATTTGTGAATTTTTTGGTGAAATAGCGATAAAAAACACGAGGGGTACTGTTTATGAATTTGTACAGCGATTTTGGGTTGCTGTGCCCAAACGCGTGAATCGAATCAAAAAACTTTTACACACACTTTTAGACAGAAGTTCACGCTTTATTACAAAAATTTAATCTACTAAATCTGTGCACTAATTTAACAATAATGTCGGTTGGAAACATGGTATTTGTTGCAAATTTTTGTTATAAATTTGTATATACATTTTTATATACAAGATATTTTGGGAAATGTTTAGTACCACTCACACCGTTTTTTGGGTGGGGGGCGGAGGGGGAGGGGGCGGGGCCCCCAAAACACCCCCCCAATAGAAAGGAGACAGTCGCCGCTTTCTAAAAAGGGGAACCCCTCCCTTGGACTCCTCCCACAGGCACCTAGGGAACCGTTTGAAAAAGGGGGAAAAACGGATTTTTCTTAGGCAAACTGAGCAGTTTGAAGTGGAATATGACCCAACTAACAGAAACCGTGGGATTTTTTAATAAAAGAAATTATGCCAAATTAGATATGGGGGGATTTTGAATAAAGAATAAAAAGTTAATTAAAAATAGAAAAAAAAAGTTTTTATAAAAAAAAATGTTCTTTTTAACAAATGTATTTTTGCGTAGAATTCCTTTCTACGTAAGCGGCCTTCGGCCGCACTTAGGGATTATAACCCTCAGGCAGTAGAATTCTCCTTTCTGTGTTGCCAAAGAAGGGGGGCTGAACACCTTTTGCAGAGAACACCTTTCTGCGTAGGCGGCCTTCGGCCTCACTTAGGGATTATAACCCTCAGGCAGTAGAATTCTCCTTTCTGTGTTGCCAAAGAAGGGGGGCTTAATACCTTTTGCAGAGAACACCTTTCTGCGTAGGCGGCCTTCGGCCGCACTTAGGGATTATAACCCTCAGGCAGTAGAATTCTAGTTTCTGTGTTGCCAAAGAAGGGGGGCTGAACACCTTTTGCAGAGAACACCTTTCTGCGTAGGCGGCCTTCGGCCGCACTTAGGGATTATAACCCTCAGGCAGTAGAATTCTCCTTTCTGTGTTGCCAAAGAAGGTGTTCTGAACCCCTTTTGCAGAGAACACCTTTCTGCGTAGGCGGCCTTCGGCCGCACTTAGGGATTATAACCCTCAGGC